CGCCGGAGCGGCGCGCGCCCCACCTCTGCGAGCTGAAGTTCGGGGCCGGGGGCCTCCGGCCGGGTGCCGGGGTCTCGTGTGGCGCCCTCGCAGAGAGGGGAGGCTGAAGAACTCGAGGTGTCTGCTGCTAGGGGATGCGGCGTGAGCTGCTCGTTTGTGCGGGAAGGCTCTGGACCCCGGGACCCTCGAGTCTTGGCTCTTGGGGTCCCCAGACCAGCCCCGCTCCTGGGCGCCAGTGAGCCTGCTGGCCTGAGCAGACCCTTGAGGGTGGACAGCCAGGGGCATGTGGCCCCGGAGTCCCCGGTTCGGTTGAGAATGATTGGACCCTGTGGGACGGCGTTGTGGGGAGAGCCTGGAGTCTGGCTCCTGACAGCAGGTGGGGGTCCCTGGCGGGGATCCCGGGCTGCCCGGGCGCTGTGGAAGTGTGGGGAGGCTTCAGCAGGACCCGTCTGGTGAGGGGGCTTGGAAGAGGGGGCAGAAAGGATGCAGCGTGGAGAGTCCTGTTCTTGTCACCTTACTTCCAGCTGGACAGAGACTCAGTTGCTCCTAGTTGTTGGAGCAGGGGGTGACAGGACCGCCTGGGTGTCTGAGGTCTGCCTCCTCCCCACTTGTGTGCCGGTCAGAGGGAGTGGGTTGGGCCCTCCTTGCCCTCGGCTGCAGGCTGCTCGTCTGTTCCCTGAGGGCCGGTCAGTAGCCCTGACCCTTTGTTTTTTCTCTCTCCTCCAGGTGGAGGCAAGGTTCCTGGACTGGTCAGATACTACCTTGCAGGCCTGGCAGAATCAAGATGAGCCCCAGAGTGTCTCCCCAGTGAGGCCTGCAGCCGGAGCAGACAGCATGGCCTGCCACCGGCAGTGAACACCATGGCTACAGGAGGTGGCCGGGCCTTTGCTTGGCAGGTGTTCCCCCCTATGCCCACTTGCCGGGTGTATGGCACAGTGGCGCACCAGGATGGGCACCTGCTGGTGTTGGGGGGCTGTGGCCGGGCCGGGCTGCCCTTGGACACTGCCGAGACACTAGATATGGCCTCGCACACATGGCTAGCACTGGCGCCCCTGCCCACCGCCCGGGCTGGTGCAGCTGCTGTGGTTCTGGGTAAGCAGGTGCTAGTGGTGGGCGGTGTGGATGAGGCCCAGAGCCCAGTAGCTGCTGTGGAGGCCTTCCTGGCTGACGAAGGCCGCTGGGAGCGTCGGGCTACCCTCCCTCAAGCAGCCATGGGGGTTGCGACTGTGGAGAGAGGTGAGTGGCTACCCAAAGAAGTTCCCTCAGGTGCCCAATACCCTCTGCTCACTTCTGACTTGGTCCCTTACCCACTGAGCTTGAACAAGAGCTTCCTTGGATCTGGCCTTTCCTCTTGTATCCTCTGCTACCTCCCTCTGACCCGGGCTTGCAGTAGCTTTCTGTTAACTGATTTTTCTGGCTGGGAGGCAGGGGCAAAGCCCAGGCTGGCCCCCAAAGTGATGGGAGACCCCAGCCACCACTCTGCCCCATTCTTCATCGCAAAGAGACAGTGTGTGTGCCTGTAGGGGGAACAGTGGCCTGATGACTTCCACGGTTATAAATAGGCCGAGATGGAGGGAGGGGAGCAGGGCCTTGGCTCAGAGCCCAGTAAGTGCTTAACTGCTTCGACTCCCCCCCAACACACACACCAGGGATCCTGTCGTGGACAGAAGCCAAGCTGACCTGAAGGTGGTTGCCATGGAAGCCCCTAGTTCATAGGCACATTACTCCAAGGCCCCCAGACATGCCTCTAGCTCGCTTTGAGGGCCTAACAGAAGGCAAGAACCTACTCTAGTGAAAACGTGTAGTGTAGAGGTGCTGACAGGGTGACCGTGGATGAGCAGTTGTGGCCGGCACCTCTATCCTGCGGGTCCAAGCCCCTGTATCCTCATCTCCACCCCCAATTGATCTCGAGTCCCTTCCCCAAAATCCATGCTAACCAAATCCTTATATACTTCAACACTCGTGTAAGTAAACCATCCCTGTCATCAGGGGAGCCCCCCCACCTTGTGGCCTCCAGGTCTGACCACTGGTCCCAACCAGCCAGACTCGGTTGCCATAGCGTCTCCAGGGAGACAAAGCTGGATTATAATTAGATCAGCTGCCTCCTGCTCTTCACTCAGAAGGGCCCCAGCCAGAGAAGGAAGCACTCTCACCTTCCACTCCAGATAGGTTTCAGGGTTTCAGACAATGACACGGATGTCTCTCCACACCTTATCTAACCGGGGTAGCTGTCAGGGTGGAGTTCCTTGGCCAGGCTGGGGTGTAATCTGAGTTACTCTTTCCTATACAGATGGTATGGTGTACGCTTTGGGGGGAATGGGCCCTGACACGGCGCCCCAGGCTCAGGTGCGGGTGTATGAGCCTCGCCGGGATTGCTGGCTTTCACTACCCTCCATGCCCACACCCTGCTACGGGGCCTCCACGTTCTTGCATGGCAATAAGATCTATATTCTGGGTAAGTGCCTAGAGGGTGTGGGAAAGGGGCTCAACGTTCACAAGTCCCCATCCCTGTAGGTTGGCTGGGTTAGGGATCAGGCACAGTCTAAGACAGCAAGATTTTAAAAGTTTTGTTGGGCAGGCGATATAGCTTAGTGGCACAGCGCCTGCCTGGCAAGTGCAAGGTTCTGAGTTCAATTCCCAGTACCCAAAAATAACAACAACAAAAAACAAGTTCTGTTATGTGATCTGGTCCAACCCTGAGGCTCTGATCTCTGGTGGCCCTGCTGGGATTGTAAAACCAGCCCCAGTGCCTGAATATCTGTAGGCTGGATAGTCTGCATGCCCTTGTGCAAACAGGTGGGCATGGGAGGCCGAGGCAGACAGATCTGCAATTTGGAGAGTGAGGAGCCCAGCAAGTCCCTTGGGCTCACTCCCAGCTCCAATTCCATTGACAGGGGGTCGCCAGGGCAAGCTCCCAGTGACTGCTTTTGAAGCTTTTGATCTGGAGGCCTGTACCTGGACCCGGCACCCAAGCCTGCCGAGCCGCCGGGCCTTTGCTGGCTGTGCTATGGCCGAAGGCAGCGTCTTTAGCCTGGGAGGCCTGCAGCAACCTGGGCCACACAATTTCTACTCCCGCCCACATTTTGTCAACACTGTGGAGATGTTTGACCTGGAGCATGGTGAGCACTGGCTGTCCTGGGCTGTCCTCTTACTCCCTGCGGGATGAGGGATGTAGCGTCTGAGTGGCTAGATGTGATCTCCCCTCTCCTGCAGGGTCCTGGACCAAGCTACCCCGCAGCCTACGCATGAGGGATAAGAGGGCTGACTTTGTGGTTGGCTCCCTTGGGGGCCACATCCTGGCCATTGGGGGCCTCGGTAAGTCTCTGTGGGAACCTGGAGAAGGGGGCCCAAGACAGGAAAGAGTTGCCCCTTAGCAGGAGTACTTCCTTCTTCAGCCACTGCGGAGGTGTCAGGGCTTTGTTAAGTTCTGTTTCTTTACCCGCAAATCAGGCAAGTTGAGGTCTGCCTGGCCCAGCTCTCAGTGCCTGACTGAGGCTCTGCGTCCACAGGTGTCTAGGAGACAGCAGGAGGACTGAGTGCGTGGCCAATTGGCTAAATCAAATATGAGTGAATGAATGAACAAATGACTCCAGGGCAGTGATGACCAAGGCACTGAGAGCCCATCCTGGGGTGACACTTACTGGGCTCTTCTCTGGGCTCGGGGAACAAAAAGTCTGGAGCCCCTCACATAGAACCATCTGTCTCTCCTCCATACAGGAAACCAGCCATGCCCTCTGGGCTCTGTGGAGAGCTTCAGTCTTGCACAGCGGCGCTGGGAGGCACTGCCCGCCATGCCCACAGCCCGTTGTTCCTGCTCTAGTCTACAGGCTGGACCCCGGCTATTTGTTATTGGGGGTGTGGCCCAGGGCCCCAGTCAAGCCGTGGAGGCACTGTGTCTGCGTGATGGAGTCTGAAGGCCTGGTGGGACGTGTCATTGGAGCAGCTCAGTGCAGAAGTGGGTGCCTATGGCTCCTTTTGCTCCTGAGGGAGCTCTCTGCAGCTCTACGGGAGGAGGGAGGCACAGAGGTGGACCCTTGAAGTACTGCCTTTGGTACTTGGTTAAAGGAGCCTTTGTCTTTAGCACAGGACACATACAAGCTCACACCTACCTTTACCACCATTCACTCATGAACTACCTATCATGAACATACCCTTGCCCTGCAGCCTGCTAGGCCCTGTGACCACCTGGGATGCGTGGGGATGGAAGACCTGCCCTTGCACCCTGCGGGACAGTCCTTGTTTAGAGTTGACCAGGCCGCCCCTATGGCTATTCCTGAAAAATCCTAGTGGCCAGTCTGTCTTGAGGGTCCTTGTAGGCCCAGAAGCGTTCAGAGAGGGTTGGGGAACTGGCAGGGGGCAAGAGGAATGCTGGCCTGGGGCCCTCTACACTGCTGTTGTATGACTTTGGGCAAGTCATTTTATCTCTGTGCCTCAGCATCCTCACCTGTCAAGGGGGATCTCTGAAACCTTCCTGCCCTACCTACCTCACAGGGCTGTTGTGAGGACCCAGGAGGCTCGATGTAGAAGTAAAGGTTCTGTTCAAATCCGGTGTGGGGCTTCTGGTGTGGACTCCCATGCTGTCCTCACAGCCTCTGCCCTCCTTCAGGGACCTTTGCTCTCCCGGGGACGGGGTCCCCAGGGAGCTCCTTGTATCTGGCCTCTGTCCCCAGAGTGATCTGGTATCTCAGGTGCCTGTAAGCCTCAGCTTTGCCTTAGATGACGTGGCATAATAGCACCCCCTGCTGCTGTAGGAACTGGGGACCCCAATAGGATGACCAGAGAAGAACTCAGGAAACAGTAAAACTGCAGGGTTAGAATAGTCTCTGGGTCCAAATTACGGTTAGACAGTTGCCTCATGGCTTCTGCTCACCCCTGAAGGGAGGGGTGGTTTGGTGCAGATGTTAGCCAAGGCAGCCTCCCTGTCGGCTGTGGGGAGCCATCTCTGGGGCAGGACTGGGTGCCTACCCACCAAACCCCACACCTCCTACGGGAGGCTGCCAGCCTTTCCTCCTCCAGTTTTTTTTTTTTTTTTAATTCTGTTTTGGTTTGGTTTTTTGTTGTTGTTTTGTTTGTTTTTTTCCGGTACCGGGAGTCGAACTCACGACCTCGCATTTGCCAGGCAGGCGCTGTGCCGCGGAGCTAAATCCCCAGCCCCATTTTTTAAATTCTGTACTGGGGATTGAACCCAGGACCGTGGACATGCTAGGCAAGCACTCTGTCACAGCTACACCCCCAGCCCTTTGTTTTGGTTGTTTTATTTGAGTCAGGGCCTCTCGAAATTTCCCAGTCTGGCCTGGAACTTGTGATCCTCCTCCCTGGACCCCTTGACCTCCCAAGTAGCTGGGATTACAGGGAGATGTGCCCCGGCCTTTGGTCCCCGCTGGTACAACTGCTGGCTCCGCTTTCCTTGCAGCTACACTGAGTACAGTCTCCAGCTGTCTGCTGAAGTGCTGGAAAAGTGTTTGGACCCACCCAGTGTGTTGGTCGTGGCAGCCTTCCTGGACGCTGGGCCTCTTCCGGCCTCACCCTTCCTCACCTTGGGACAAGGCTCCCATGGCAGTGTCTCCCCAGCCAAGCTCATGGATACCATAGACATGAGTCCCACGGGGGTCAGCTCTGGGTCGCACACCACTGATTACTGGCCCCTGAGACCTCTTGTGCTGCAAGCACAGGCAGGCGATGTGTCAGCTGTCCTCGTTTAATGTTCAGGACCAGTGCAGGCACTCATAGACCCCAGGGTGAAGGTAGTGCTGCAGGAGCTTGGGTCTTGGGATGGCTGGGAGGTCAGGCAGTGTGTCGGTGACAGGCACTTGGGGCCCTGTCTTGTCACTGCCACAGCGACCACCAAGGGACGGGTGGCAGAAGTTTCGCTGGTAGGTAGTGCTGGCGTGGACAGGCTGGATTTGTACAAAGTGAACCAGACGCTGAGGGAGGCTGTCAAGTCCAGAGCCTGACGGGAAGTCATGCTGGTAGGAAGATTTCAGGGGCCGCTGCTGGCTCACTTCTATCTCACAGGGTGCCCAGCGCAGGAAAGTGTGCCGCTGCCACAGGCGCTTCAGATCTTTCTGTCTTCCGATTCCCTGCAGCAGACAGTAGGGCCCCTCCCCAGCGGTACAGGCCCTTAGCCCACAGAGCTAGCACCAGGCATCTGCTTGGGCCGCACCTAATCCAAGTCTGGTGGTGCCTGGCCTGTGTAGGACCTCCTTGGCCCTACACTGGCTTCACTGGCTGCCTCCTCAGTGATGCTCTCTATCCAGCGTGAAGCCCCTATCAGTGCCCCCAGGACATGCGAGTATTGACGGGGAATTCGGCTGAGGAGCCCAGTGCAGAGGTGCCTCTGAGGAGTGCACTGCTTCCCGAGGGAGAAAGGTTGTGGAGGAGAGAGGGGCACTCCTGTGCCGTTTCATGGAGCGTCCCCTCCCCTCGTGGTTTTTTCCCAGCCACCCCAACACACGCTGTGCCCTCACCTTCCACCTAAGCTAGAGGGCTGTCCCCTCTCCTTCCTCCCCAGCACTCACTTTGTCGAAGGAAGTGCGGTTGTCGTGCTTGGAGAAGAAGTGCTGTGCTGGCTCCTTGAAAAACAGTGGGGAAAAAAAGAGGGGTGATACTTACTCCCCCAGGTATTGCCTCAGGGCCCTTACGGCAGGAGACCACCCCTCAGCTGTTACAGCAGTAACACCTTGGAAGGTCAGAGGCAAATTAAAGTAGCACCTCACTGCTAGGACAGCTTGTCCTAGGACTTGTCCTAAGTAAAAACCTCTCAAGCTGGGTTGAGGCGCCTATCAGGTGTCCTTCCGTGAGTGGACTGTCTGGGACTGGATCTGAGTCCTCTCCTTCCATCCGCACTCATTCCCCTGACAGCACACCCACATCCTGGGCCCTAAATGCCATCTGGAAACTAAAATTTCTATCTCTAAGGTGATTCCTGATCCCCAGATACAATAGCCAACTGCCTTCTCCGCATCTTTGTATTAATGCCAGACAGAAATCTCTAACACGTGACAGCTTCAGATCATCCCCAAACTCACCCTGCAGCTTCCCCCAGCTCAGGCTACAACAGCTAGATCCTGCCAAACACCTTAGACTTCTTTTTTCTCACATTCCACATCGAACGTGGCAGGAAATCCTGTTGATAAATCCTTCAAAGTGTACCCGGGAATCACAATGGCTTTCTCCGGTACGAACCACTTTCCTCTGTTGCCTAGCTTCCTGCCTAGTGCCCCTTCTTTCAAGCTTACCCCTCCAGTCTGTCATCCTTTTAGCAGCTAGAATTTTTAGCACATGAATTCAGTTACATGTTTGCCAGAAGTTTACAACAGCTGCTCATGTTTGTACCAGCCAAAGGCGTCATAGTGGTCCATAAGACCCACAAGCTACTGACCCTTTCCTATTGATCCTACCTCCAGCCACATGGGCCTCCTCCCTGCTCCCAAACATGGCAGGGATCTGCTTCTCAGGCTTTTGCACCACCAGTCCCCTCAGCTAGCCATAAAATTTCTTCTCTCAGGAAAGCCTTCCCTGACCACTATGGGAGTAATCCCATGTCCCTAACTCACTATTGTTCACCTGCTAACACTCTGTGGTGACATATTATTTCCTATCATCTGACCCCCCCCCATAGAACATAAGCTCTTTGTGGGCAAAAGTTACTGTCTATAGTGCGTACATCTCTAACTTTAGCACTGAGAACAGTGCCTGACTTTGTACTACATAGACACTTGCTATTAAACCAACGAGTGGGGACAGAAGATCCCAGCCCCAGAGTATTTGCTTGGGCTTAGTTGGGGCCAGAAAACCTATTCCCAAGCAGAGAAGGACCATGAACCAAGGCTTCCAGACTTTGGCAAGAATGTCTCCCATGTCCAGCTCCTTGTGTTTGTGCCTGGGATCTGCCCCTAGAGCCGTCCCCTCCCCATCTACCTGGATTCTGCTGCTACAGAGATGAAGAAGTTTGATCTGGTGAAATCAGGCTTGGCTGGGTTGGAGGTATGAGCAATGGGTGACGATAGAGTCCCAGATAAAACATAGGGACTGGGGGCCAGGGATGTAGCTTAATAGAGTACTTGCCTAGCATAGCTGAGGTCCCTGGTTTTGATCCCCAGCCCTATACCACAGGCATGCACACACGCTCACACATACCAAGGGCTGGCTCCATCCTGTACCCCTAAACCAGTCAATGTAAAGCCTATGGTATGTTTTTAATAGTCTCCCCCTTTGGGGCTCCCTGCCATACTGCAGTGGTAGTCTCTAGACAGTAAATTCTATGAAGAGGGGAAACCAGCCAGCTTTAACTGTCATTCTTCATGAAGCAAGGTGACACACTAGAAACCCATGGCTCAGTAGTAGAGCATGGCCTTGGCACTTGCAAGGCCCTGGGTTCAATCTTCAGTACCAAAGCAAAACAAACAAAAATAACCAACAAAAAACAAACAACAACGAAAAACAATCCCAGGACTCTTAGGAAAAGAAAAATCTTCAGAATCTGAAGCTAGGTAAAAAGTTCTCAGACTTGAAACCAAAACAAAGAGCCAAAAAGGAAAAATAAATTGGACTCATCCAAAAATTTAAGATTTTGCCCTTTGAAAATCTACGTGAAAAAAAAATCTGTGTGAAGAGCATGAAAAACTATAGACTGGGAGAAAAAAATATTTACAAAACCCATATCCAACAAAGGACTAGTATCTAAAATATATAAAGAATTCTACCATCTCAACAATAAAGTAATCTAATTAAACAACATGACGCTGTTTCACCAAAGAGGTTAGACAGATGGCAAATGACAGCAACATCATTAAATAGTAGGGAAATGCAAATCAAAACCACAATAAAATATCACTACTGTCTATCAGAATGACTAAAATTAAAAATAGAAACACCACCAAATGTTAGTGAGAAAGCAGAGAAACTAAATCATTCATGCATTGCTGGTGAGAATGTAAAGTGGCACAGCCACTCTCTAAAACAGCTTGACAGTTTATTTAAAAAACTAAACATGCAACTACCATATGACCCAGCAATTGTACTTCTGGGCATTTATCCCAGAGAAATGAAAACTCATGTTCACTAAAAAAAAAAAAAAAAAAAAAAAAAAAAAAATCTGTGCCCAAATGTTCATAGCAGCTTTATTTATAAAAGCCAAAAAATTGGAATCACCTCAGATACCTAATATTGAATGGTTAAACAAACTGGTACATATGTGGCATGGAATACTACTCAGCAATGAAAAAATGGACTATTGATATGTGTTTGGATGACTTTCTAGGAAATTATACTGAGCAAGAAAAATGAATTTCCAAAGGTTGCATGTTTAGACAGCATTTTAAGTGATAAAATTTTAGAAATAGGTATATAGAGACAGAGAAGTGTGTAGGAGTGGAAGGCAGGTAGATGTGGAGATAAAAAGACAGCACCAGTGATCCTTGGTCAGAATCTAAACTATGGCGGTGGATAGATGAACCTACAGACCATAAAACTTTACAGCTCTTACAAATAAGTGCAAGTCAGATGACATCAGAAAAAGATTAGTGGACTGCATCAATGTCAGCGTCCTGGTTTTGACATTCTACCACAGCTTCAGAAAATGTTACCACTGGGGGAACCTGGGTGAAGTGGAGAGATTTTTCTTCATTATTCCTGATAACTGCTTATGAATCTTTAATCATCTCAAGGAAAGTTTTAATTTTAAAAAATTCTGGGAGCCTGGGGCAAGTTCCAGTGACCTCTCGGATTCTCACCTGACTCAGTGTCCTCAGAACTGTACACAGCCCTAGAACGAATGCCTCCGTTGTTGTAGGCAGTTCTGATTCTCATTATGCCTACAGTGGCACGATAGTCTGTCGACTCCCACTGATTCAAATTTGCTCTCTCAAAACTGTGGGAGCCTGGTAAGAAAAATAGTCATTTCTTCTATAGCCTAAGCTCTTCTGCGTATTCTTGCTGCTGAGGAGAATTATCACTTGCGTCTTTGTTTCTAAAATATTCAGGGGCCCCTTTCCCATAGAGGTGATGAAACCCATGGTTTCTAAGCAGCTGGGTCTAGAGCTCTGATTCCCTGTTTCTGAGGTCTGGAAGGAGGCAGCGTTTATACGTGGGTGGCCAAGGGCCCTGTGCAGTCTGGGCGGTCACAGTCAGTGGGTGCTGAGAGAGGAACCCTGTATCAGACCAAGGTGGGGGCAGCCTGGGGGCAGAGCAATCTTGGCACCACAGGGAAGGACCTGGCCCTATTCGGAAGTCTCCAGGACAGTTGCTTGACTTTAGGAGCCAAGAGCAACAGTTACATTTCCCGAGAGTCAGGCAAGTGAAGGCTAGAATAAATAGATCAATAGAGCTCAGAAGAAAAATGAAAATGAAAAAAGAACTTTCTTGCATCTAAATGTCACAGACAAAATTTTCACCTCCCCAAAGGAAAATAGATGCCACATCTTAGGCTTTCAACAGTAGCTGCAATCAGCCAACTGAATCCTGGTATCTCCCAACCAGTGAAAAAATAAGATGTGTACCTTCCCTGAGCAGTCCTATTAATTAAAACAGCTCTAAATCTAGAAAGACCCAGGAGACTTGACATTTATACAACCTGAGCCCAAAACACACCACAGCTATTTGGAGCCATTGATAATGCTAGTTAATTCTTTTTTTTTTTTTTTTTTTTTTTTTTTTTTTTTT